GCAGATCTGCCCTCGCAGAGGAGGGAGAGCTTGTACCTGAAGGCGGGCCGGGGGGGGGGCTCTGCAACGTACCTGGCTGCTTCTTGCTCCTTGTGGCCCGACTGAGGGCTGCCGGGAGCAGGGGGCGGGGCTTGTTGCATGTGCCCGCCCCCTGGGCTCCTTACTGCCGGAGCTCCATTCCTGTGCGCTCCCGCAGGAAATGACCCCTGCCTAAGAGGGAACGTGATAAAGGGTTTACAAAGTTATGCACGGGGTGGAGAGAGTTGACAGAGAGGACTTTTTCTCCCTCTCCCAAAAGACTAGACCTCGAGGGCATCTGGTGAAGCTGATGGGCAGGAAATCCTCCTTTACACAATGAGTTATTACAGTATAGGATTCGCTGCTTGGTGTCCACAAGCATAGATGGCTTTAAAAGGAAATTAGATTCATGGAGGATAAGTCCATTAATGGCTGCTAGCCATGGTGACTGAGGGGAACCTTCATGTTCAGAGGCACTAATCCGCTGAATCCTAGAGCCAGGAGGCAGCCTCAGGGGAAGGCCTCAGCCTCTCTGCCCTGCTGTTGGCCCTCCAGAGGAATTGGTTGGCCCCTGTGTGAGACAGGATGCTGGACTAGATGGACCCTCACTGGTCTGACCCAGCAGGGCTCTTCTGATGTTCTTATCAGGGGAAGGCCTCAGCCTCTCTGCCCCGTTGTTGGACCTCCAGAGGAACTGGCTGGCCCCTGTGTGAGACAGGATGCTGGACTAGAGGGACCCTCCCTGGTCTGATCCAGCAGGGCTCTTCTGACGTTCTTATGACGCTGGAGAGGCTAGCCATTTGAATACACACGAACCGACCTTATGTCAAGTTAGACCTTCAGTCTATCAAGATCAGTTTTGTCTTCTCTGATTAGCCGAGGCTTTCCAGGGTCTTGAGCAGAGCCTTTTAATCGGAGATGGCGGGGATTGAACCTGGGGCCTTCTGTGTGCCAAGCAGATGCTCTACCCCTGAGCCACAGCCCCTCCACTGTAAATGCATTTCCCCACAGCTCAAATGCAATGGTCACTGTTTTGTTGGTCTTTTGTGGGGGGAACTGCAAGACCAACACAGGTTGTGCAGTTTGTGGCATTGTCAGAGTTGCATCTTTTTGAGAGCCAGTTTGGTGTGGTGGTTAGGAGCGCGGACTCTAATCTGGGAGGACCGGGTTTGATTCCCCACTCCGCCACATGCAGCTGCTGGTGTGACCTGGTCAGTCACAAGATCTCTCAGAGCTGTTCTCTCAGGAGCAGTCCTGGAAAGAGCTCTCTCAGCCCCGCCTACCTCACAGGGTGTCTGTTGTGGGGAAAGGAAGGGAAAGGAGGTTGTAAGCCGCTCTCAGACTCCTTCAGGTAGTGAAGGGCAGGGTATAAATCCAATCTCTTCTTCTTCTTCTTGGTGTACACTGAACAGTAACAGATATAATCCTCTGAAGACCGGGGGGGGGGGACACCTCTTGTGTAGGAATCCCTCTTTTCCGAGGGGGCTCAGAGGAATAAGATCTATCTGGGATACGCCTTTGCTTTGTACCTGCCGTTTGGATGCTAAGTTCCCTTTCCCCTTGCGGGAGAAGAGGAAGGCGGCAGGTTTTCAGCAATCCACTCACTGCAGCCTCTCCCCATTCTGACCCCCACCTCCACAATCCTGGGGATCCGCTGACCTGCTTGGGGGATGGACCACCGCAGCGGCATGGCTCCTCTCATGCCGCGCAGGATCTGACCCTATTTTTTCATTGTGTTGCTTTCTGTTTTATGTACTGTGTGCTCTGGTGCCTGTACCTGGGGAGCGGGACCGCTGACGCCCCTGGCCAAATTAATCCGAATTCTCATCGTAGGGGTGGGGTGAGGGGAAAGGCCGTGTCACGTGCGACAGAGGAAATGTAACTCTCAAATAAGCACAATTGGGTACGTGAATGTTTCGATGCCTATTTTTTATTTACAAATAAAACCTTTAAATAAATTAAGCGTGGTTGGATTTGTTTGGAGCCGGTGACCCCGACGTGGTGCACCTGGGCGTCACGCACCGGCCGACATCTCTCCCACTTGCCCACGTTTGGTTTCAGAAAGCGGGCGGGCCAGGTGTGACCTTTGACCCAGCAAGGCTTCTGATTGGGCCCCGGAGATTTGATCGGCTGTGCAGATTTTTGTAAAAATGTTGCTCTGCCTGCAGTTGCCAGCTCAGCACGAGGATCTTCACGGTGGGACCGAAGGTAAGCCGTGGCCACCGTTCTGTGGCTGCGCCCACCCTGTGTGTGTGTGTGTTAAGTGGGTTCTGACTTCTGGCGACCCTGTGAACTTAAGACCTCCGAAACGTCCTGTCATTAACAGGGGCTGTGGTGCCCACCGTCCTGTGTCAGAATTCCGAAGGCGCCCACGGGCAAGGCTCCCTCTAAGCTGTGGAGTGTTGTGAGCAAAAATTCTACTTTGTGAGCCACTGGCATCAAAGTTCTGAGCAAGCTGTTTGGCTACTGCATAAGTTAGTTTGCTCTGGAGCCGTCCTTCCTGAGCGAAGACAGAAATTTGTCAGCTGGAGGCTAAAACACTGTGAGCTAGCTCGCACTAACTCAGCTTAGAGGAAACACTGCCCACGGGGTCAAAAAGGTTAGCGCAGGGGTGTCAAACATGCGGCCCGGGGGCCGGATCAGGCCCCTGGAGGGTTTTTATCAGTCCCACAGTGGAACTGGTTGTCTTCTGCTGCTTCTTCTTCCAGTTCTGCTGCTGCTGTGTCATCATAGGTTTGCAGCTTACAGATACACACCTGAACAGCACACTCAAGACTGCAACAGCACAGACATTTTGATGCAGTCATTCAGAGCAAGAGGTGTCAGTTATCAGAGACTGTTAAGTAAAATATTGCAAGAGTGCTCATGTTTTAGGCATGTTTTTAAGTTGTGTTTGTGTCCTTTATAAAGTTTATATCTCCGCTACTACCTGGCATTACCTTTTATGACACACGTGGCTCGGCCCGACAAGGTCTCGTTTGTGTCAGATCTGGCCCTCGTAACAAATGAGTTCGACACCCCTGGGTTAGGGACTCCTGGTTTAGAGCATAACGCATTACTGCCGTGTAGTGGGTTCCGTTGATTATATTATATTATTCAACTTTTCCCCATAGCAGCTCTAATCGCTCAGACCAGATCTCGTCCGAGCTTGGAGATTAAGCTGGGCCGGCCACGTTTAGTACTCGGGTGGGAAGGGTGGAGGAAGGCAGCGGCAGATCGCCCCTACTCACCTCTTGCCTTGAAAACTCTGTTTCAAACTCTGTTTGAAAACCTGGATGGCCTGGTTTCATCAGACCTTGGGAGCCAAGCGGGGCCAGCCCTGTTTGATACCTGGAGACCACCAAGGAAGTCGGGGGCTGCCTTGCAGAGGAAGGCAATGGCGAACCACCTCTATATTCATCTCTGACCTCGAAAACGGCAGGGTCCCAGGGTCCCCACGAATCAATCGTGATTTGACGGCACGGTTATCAACCCTGACCGGGATGCCACAGTCTTGTCAGCTCTTCGAAGCTAAGCGGGGTCGGCCCCATTTGGTGCTTTGATGGGAGACCCCCGAGGAGGTCCAGGGTTGCTACGCGGAGGCAAGCGGCAGCAAACCCCCTCTGCTCGTCTCTCGCCTCGGAAACCCCACCAGGTGGAACCTCATGGTATCAGTTGCAGTTCAGCGGCGCACACAACCTTACTGAATCTTTTTTTTAAAATGACAATCTGCCTTGCGTCTTCATGAAGATGGTGGACCGCGAGTGAAGTAACTAAGGATCCTCCACCTCTTGGACATCAGAGGTTACGGCACTTGAACTCCTGACTCTCTTGGGAATCGGGGAACTTGGGACTCAAGTGTTCAGGCTGCTGAAGGTGAGTGGAGCGGTCTTGCGTGGCTTACCTTGATATCAGACTGTTTCGTAAAAGGCTGGATGTCCACATTAATACCAGAATCCAATTCTTGTGACTTTCCAATTTTTGGGGGGAGCTACTTAACGGTGACACCAGAATACTCAGTCCTCCTGAGGGTCTTCCCCCTTTAGGACCGACCGAAGCACACGAATGAAAAGCCAGGTAGTTATGAAGCTCAAATGGGTCTTGCATCCAAGTTTCTTGTAGAAGGGTGATCTTAAACTGTGAGATATAAGAAATAAAATCTTGCTCCAATTATTTAGAGCACCACCCGGCAATATTCCAGGAGAGGAGGAGGGGTGATAGTCCGCCTACTCAGTAATATCCAAGGACCTTCCAGTGTCAGTAAAAACACAACCCTTGGATTGGCCTTTTGGCTAAGTTCAAGTGTAGTGTAGCTGCGGTGGCTCAAGTGGTTAAGACGCTGAACTGCAGGCTGTGGTAGGTCAGTAGTTCAGCAGTTCGAGACCCGAGTTGCGCATGATGGAGTGGCCCCAGCTCCTGCCAACCTAGCGG